AGACCCGGCTTATATAAGAATAAAAGTTGTTCCTACTTCCAAGGGAAAGCGAAGTGGAGGTTTTAACGCTGCTATTTACATAGCGTTCATGAACTCAGTTCACCTCTCACCTCTCCATCTGCATAAGCAGTACAACTACAGGTACTCTGGAATTAGACCTTAGTGGTTAGGAGCATGAATTCTTATGCGGGAGCCAATATGGGATCGGTCACATATTAGCTGTGTCGCCTTGGGCAATTTATCAACCTCTCTGTGCCTCAGTTTCTGCATTTGTCAATGGGAATAAGAGCACCCAGAACAGTGCCCTGTGCTCACAGCTGGTGCTCTGGGAACAGATGCCGCATGAAGAAATGAGTAGGGTAAAGTGGAGTGTGTCGTACAGGGTTTCTAGGAAAGCTCTGTAAGGGAAGTGCCTTTGGCTTTCTGCCCTTTCACCTTCTTTCCTTTACCCTGCTTCTCCTTCCCTGCTGGAAGATGCAGCAGCATTTTAAAACCGGAGGGAGGGAGGGAGGGAGGGGGAGGGAAAGGGAAAGGGAAAGGGAAGGGGAAGGGGAAGGACAGTCTTGAGTTCCTGAAGGCTTGCTTGAGCCACAGTGCCAGCCCTGGACCTACCCATGAACAAGAATGTATCTAGTGAAACTTGTATTAGTTTGTGCCACTATTTGTCAGGTTTTCTGTTACCTGTAACTGAACTTTGTTGACTGAAGAAAAACACACAACATAAAAGTTGCAAGTTAAGTTTTATTTGGAGATCTTACTGAAGACTATAGCCCAGGGGACAGCCTCTCAGAGAGCTCTGAGGAACGGATCCTAAGAGACAAGGGAGGAACCAGGATATATAGGATTTTTTTTTTTTTTTTTTTTGGCTGAGAAAAAAACACATAGTTGAACATCAAAAGATTACTACTAATCACCAAAAAAACCCAGACATTTCAAGTTAATTATTTTAGTGGCTTTCTATGTATGAGAAGATGCAAGAATCTGGGCTCACTGAAATTATTCCTTAGGTATGCATCTTAACTAACAGGGCCAGGATCCAAAGCACAGAATGTCTCCTGGTTTTTCTCCATACAGAATTCCCTGGGGTGGGAGGCACTGCAGTGGCTGGCTGACGGCTCCATCCTTGCAGAACTGGGATGGAGGCATCACATTCCCTGCCCACACCCACTCTGAATAGGTACAGTTACAAAGATGTTTTCCAACAAAAACAGCTTGCTCTCAGTTATTCCTGAGAATAACTGGTGAGTAACAAAAATTTTAACTAACATTCACCTTTTCAACCAGTCAACACAAATCCAAGACTGGTGTAATAAAGTGGATAGTCTCATCAATAGGCAATGCAAATAGATATAAATAGAAGAGGTTCAAATTAAAGCTCCTTTGGCCTCCTTTATTTTATTTTCAGTGAAAGCATATGGAGGGCCCATAGACTGTAAGAAAATAAGGATGAATGGGGACTCTGTCACACTGGGAAGGGGGCTGGGAGGGGGGCGGCTGGCAGGTCCATTCTCTCTCTCTCTCTCTCTCTCTCTCTATCCATCCCTCCATCCATCCCTGCTTTCACCATGCAGGCCCTGCACATCTAGAAGCCAGATGGGCCAAGCCAAATAGAGCCCAAGCAGCCCCCTACTTGTGAGGCTACCCAGGTGCTGTCAGGTCAGGTATATTAGAATTCTCACTGCTGGTCTCCCCCAGCAAAACCCACCTCCTGGGTGTTTTCTTGCCAGAGTTATATTCCTGTAACTTAAGACTTTAAACCTTGTGAAATGCAAAATTCCAATGGGAGAGGTGATGTATTTTTTAGAAAACAGACATTTGCATCATAATTAATGCCTAATACTTTTCTTACAACCGGTTTAACTGGGGGAGAAGGGAGGGCAGGGGTGCTGAGGCCCCTGAGACCACTGTGGGGAGAGGGGGGACTGGATCCGGAAGGGCCCATCAACCTCTCAGCTCCCCTGTTACCTGCTGCCCTCATCTATGCCTCTGCTTCTAAGGCGGTGCTGCTGTTGGATTTGTCCACTTTTGTTTACTGAGTTCTCCTGCCTTTTGAATAAAAAGTAGAAGAAACCATCTGCCAATAAAACAACACTGCTGACTCAGAAGGATATTTTGGTTGGCAGATACTCTGCAGACACTCACCAGACACAACCAACTGGTTTGCCAGGTCATCCTCCAGGGCTTGCAAAGTTACCAGCAAGGGTTTTCACTTGAAGAGCAGGATTTTGCATTTCAAAGTACTTGCATTTTCAAGTAGAAAAATACAAATAATTCAATATAAAAACTACATCAAACCTACTCAGATTATAATCTGACCTTGAGCGTCCAGGTACCTCATGTTTAAAAAGGCAAAAAAAAAAAAAAAAAAAACAACTTTGGAAGATTTAAATCCAAAATAATCATCAATTTCAGAATAAGTATCACCATTTTGCAGCCATCACAGTAAAAACTGATTCAGGCAAGAATCATTAAAAGAATCTAAAACCATTAGGTAAAAATTTAATGAGGAACAAGACATTTACATAGTCTCAGATTACCTCCTCACAGAATATTTATTAATTACAAGAGAAAATTGTAACTTCTTAGAAGAAACCTGACAGACATCACTCTAACCAAAAGATCAGAATTAATATCACCAACGATGGGACAAACTGACATCATGATGTAATGCACTGTGGAGGCCACAGCACCAGAAATGCATTACCTGAATCTTAAAAAAAAAACAAGAAACAAAAAAATACCCAGATCAAGAAACATTTCACAAGACACTTAGCCTACACTCTCAAAACGTATCACAAAGAAAAGCCAAGAAAACCTTTCAGATTAAATGTGCAAGAGACATGATATGTAAATGCCATGAGTAATTTTTTTTAAAGTGCTGGATTGAAAAAAAAAATGCTGTAAGAATTATTGCGACAACTAGAAAAACTTGAATAGTAACTGTATATTAGGAAAATCACTATTAAATTTTTTAATTTGGTAATTATATTGCGGTTCTCTGTAAGATTGTCCTTGTCTTAAGAGATACATGCTAAAGTATTTAGGAGTGAGGGTCATGAGGTGTGCAGCTTAGTGAAGTAACAGAAAAAATTAATGATAGTACATAAGTGTGTGTATCTGTGTAGAAGAGAGAGACCAAGCATGCAGACTGGTGAGTCTAAGTAAAAGTTAGATGGGAGTTCTTCACACAATTCTTGTAACCTTTCTGTAAGTTAAAAAACTTTTCAAAAGTTTTTTTTCTTAAATTAAAAAAAAAAAAGTGTCATTGCTTCTGAAAACCATTTAAAGGGAAGTGGAGGATGAAATGGATTGAAATGTTCAAATTCTTTAGAAACAACTAAATTTAAATAAACTATTTAATTTAACAGAAGCAGAGCAGTAATATTACAGATGGGAGGTTGGGGCTTGTCAGCAGCTGTGTGTGTGTGTGTGTGTGTGTGTGTGTGTGTGTGTGTGTGTGTGTGTGTGTGTGTGTGTGTGTGTGTGTGTGTGTCTCAAAACTGTTAACCTCAGGAGGCTGTCAGTCTTTCTCTGGGCCACAAGCGTCATGCCACATTTTACTAAGTGGAGGATATAAACACAGAAAGAATGACTACCCACAATTGAGGGGAAGGAGAAATACCCAGCCTAAATAAGATTAGTACAAATTTGGTGACCTGGTGAGTCACTTCCTCTTAGGAGGAAAGGCAAACATCTCTTGCCCACTGAAAGATTCAGAGAGTCTGAGAGATCACCTGAGTTCTCAGCCTGAATCATGCCATTTACGTAGCAAACCAGGTCAGAAAAGCCCACAGCCCCTTCACTCAGTGTTTCTGCCCACACTCGGTTCAACACCACCGTCGTACCTCCAATTTCAAAATCAATGTCAACTCAGCTCTCTTGGCTATTTCAGCCTCCACACTACTAAGTTCCTGGGAGAATACATGCAACTAAGACAAAGGAAATTCCTATTTACTGCACGTTTATCTTCCAACCTTGAGTGGGCAATGGCCTTGGTTTTCTTTTGCTCATCACCCCTAACATTCCTCAGGCCTGATCCAAAGCTGCTTAGTGAGAACTGAAGCTTTGGCACACAGCAGCCTTCCCTCCTGGAAGCCGCATCTGTGCCAGCAGCACACACACACGTGGATGGATTATGCAGAGCTGTGCTGTAAAGCACACACACGCTCGCCTAACGTGTGCTTTTCATTCCAGAAATACTTGATGCCTAGAACACTTCTATGCCTCTCTTGGCCTGAAACAGTATGAGTGGCTCTGTGCCAGAGGAAGTGTCTGTTTAAAGACGTGGACTTTCTCAAAAGTTCTTTACCTCAGAAAATCATAAATAGAACATTCTACCATCATTATGATAGAATAAAGTAGAAGAGGGAAAGGTTATAGGAAAAAAAAATTTGCTTTCTTTTGTTTTTAAGTGGCCAAAAAGAAATACTGGAAATATAAGATGTAACGTAGAATTATCTTCCATGAGAGTAAAAATTACAGGGTCCAAGTTAGGACAAGGAGGCAAACATACTACCTTTAACAGGAAAGGGTAGTGAGCCTTTGTCATCTCTGTCACAAGCATCTATCCTTGTTTTAAGGTCACCCACCAAAGCAAGGTGCATAGAGGGTACTGTAATCACTGTTTTATTCTAGAATGTATTCTATTTTTGTACTTTGCTTCTTTATGACGGTCATCCTATATCAAAAACCAGTGTAAAAGAAGAAAACCATTCTGGTTGACTTAGCTTCCTTTCCTTTTTTCCATGCTCACTTTCAGATATTTAAGCTCACTTACCATAAGGAGTGTAAAATCAATTAACACTTTGCAGAATCCTCTGCATCACCAACTGAATTACGAAACACACTCATCCATCTACACACACACACACACCATGTAAGGAAAATGACATCAAGCTCTGTAGTACATACACAATATGATCACCCATTTCACGTCCCTCAGGATGGACCTAAAAGACACCTTAGAAATTCTGCTCCTGGACAGAAGGAAGAAAACTTACTTTCTTTCCACTTCTGGTGTTGACACGGTGCTACTGAAGCCCAGTGACTCCTAGGAGAGAAGATTCACAGTGTCAGTGCAGGCAGAAGAGCAGGCTTCATCTGATTTGTACATAATACCACTTAAAAAAAAAAAAAAAAAAGGACGGAAGCAAAAATAGATGATTAAAGTCACTGTGCTTACTTCGATCTGGGACCGCAGCTGAAGTGACGTTGGGCTGGCTTCGGGTTTCTCCTAAAACAGAACAGATGCTGGTTTAGTGAGACTTCCAAACGTGGCACACACCAGAAGACAAATAGTTGTGTAAGAAGAGATGGGGGGATTTGGAAAATGCTAGGGTACGGTGGGAATAGATGGAGGAGATAAACAGATTTTCTGGAAAAACTATTTTTAAAATGAGAGCCATACCCTTTTAAATTTGAACTGTTTTCCAAACTTCATCACTTGACACTGTTGATAATTTTACTGCAGAAGAAAAAAGCACAATCTAACTGAAGGGTACTAAGAGTTAATGGTGAAATGATGCTCTGGATGTGATTAGACCGTCATCAGGACACAGAATTTACTATGATCCATCTATGCCATAAAGTCATAAAGAAGAGGCAGAGGACTCAATTTTAGAGATAAAGTCATGGAGTATAACACGCATTTTATGGTTTAAAAAAAAAAAAAACTGTACCCCCTTCGAAAGAAAAAAAGGAGAGATAAACCTGTTACCTGTGATAAAAAATAATATATTGAAATAAGCTTTGACAACAAAACAGGATAATTACACTATCAGAAGTGTTAGAATATGCTATAAGAAAATGACAGTTATACTAGTAAATAGAGCACAGAGCACCGCACTGATAATTTTTCATAAGTAGAGAAAAATTTTAAATCTAAATAGCTGCTAAAGCGGAGGGTTCGCATCAAAGTGTGATCCAGGTCCAGGGTGGTCCCCGGCTGATCAGCAAGTCACAAGCAGGATGATGGGCAGTTTTAGAGGAAGGAGTAATATCACTAATGTTGTACAAGTTTGAACTATCAGATTAATTATGAGTTTTTCAATAATCCTATTGGGTTCTTAATGATTGCTACCTTCTTCATGACTGTATGTGCACTATATGAAGACTGTTTTGTTGGTCTCAGCTAACATTCAGGAAATGGGGGCAGATCATCCAAATTACGAATTCTCACTTGCATTTAATTGTTCATTTTTTTTCAGATTGCTTAATTCATCATTAGCACAACTGCAAATCTAGACCAATATTTTAAAACTTATCAATGAAACAGCAACGTTAAGTGTAACTCGGAGTGAAAGTATAAATGTAAACAAGGTAACAGGAATCCAGTACAAATACAGAAGATAAAATGAATGTGTCCGGGGGATTAAATCTGAGAACAGGATGATTCTTAAACACTTAAAAAGTGTTTAATGGACTGGCAACCCACTCACCTCCAGTCCCAGGACCTTATTTGTTACGAAAAAATATCAGAGTGGGTGTGAAGCCCCAATGAACTTCTCTTTGGTTAACATTCTCCTGGTTTTTATTGCCACCTTTGTTTATAATGATCAAATTTATATTCTGTTGCAAAACAATGTATAGAAATGTTTGAGTTACATTCCGAGTCCAATTGGTATGATGTCAGACTCAAGTGCAATCAACAAAGGAGATATGTATTTCAGAGGTTCTTGGTGCTTAGAAAACAATCACGATGCCCTGATACCTAACCTCTTAGCATTATGGCATAGAGAAATTTACAAACTTAAACAGCAGGAGGTAAGCAAAGGTACAGCTTGCAATTTTTTCATCTTAAGTCTTCCTGTTCAGGAGTTGGTATGGAAGCCTCGGCAT